ATGAAAACTGGAAGCCAAATTACATGTTGCCGGAGCATGTTGAAGATTTAAAAACCATCAGAGAATTCCGCAATGTGTTTGAGGCTGAAGTTCAAAAGCTTGAAGCAGACAGGTTTCAATTGGGAACAGAAATTGCAACCACAGGTGAAAACTCCTGGCCAATGCCTGTTAACCTCAAAAGGCTTATTCAGAATGCACAAAAGACTTTCAAGATTGACTTTCGAAGGGCTTCTGATATGCATCCTATGGAAATCGTTGAAGCTATTGACAAACTTCAAGAAAGGCTGAAGGTTGTTCCTGGTGAAGATCCTTTAAGTGTGGAGGCTCAGAAGAATGCCACCCTCTTGTTCAACATATTGCTTAGAAGCACTTTTGCTAGCAAAAGAGTTTTGGATGAATACAGGCTTACACGTGAAGCATTTGAGTGGGTTATCGGAGAGATAGAATCACGCTTCTTACAATCACTAGTTGCTCCTGGTGAAATGATTGGCTGTGTTGCTGCACAATCCATTGGAGAGCCAGCCACTCAGATGACTCTTAATACCTTCCATTATGCTGGTGTCAGTGCCAAGAATGTCACCCTTGGTGTTCCTAGGTTGAGGGAAATCATTAATGTAGCCAAGAGAATCAAAACACCTTCGCTTTCAGTCTATCTAAAACCTGAAGCTAATAAAACTAAGGAGAGAGCTAAGACTGTTCAGTGTGCTTTGGAATATACTACTCTTAGGAGTGTTACGCAAGCCACGGAAGTTTGGTATGATCCTGACCCCATGAGCACAATTATTGAAGAGGATATTGATTTTGTGAAGTCTTATTATGAGATGCCAGATGAAGAAATTTCCCCTGACAAAATTTCCCCATGGTTGCTTCGTATAGAGTTGAATCGTGAAATGATGGTGGATAAGAAATTAAGCATGGCAAATATTGCTGAGAAGATCAACCTTGAATTTGATGATGATTTGACTTGCATATTTAATGATGATAACGCTGAGAAGCTGATACTTCGTATTCGTATCATGAATGATGAAGCCCCGAAGGGGGAGTTGACTGACGAATCAGCTGAAGATGATGTATTCTTGAAGAAAATTGAGAGCAATATGCTAACTGAAATGGCACTTCGAGGAATACCAGACATCAACAAGGTTTTCATTAAATGTGGTAAAGTGAACAAGTTTGATGAGTATGAAGGTTTTAAGCCAGAGATGGAGTGGATGCTGGATACAGAAGGTGTCAATCTTTTAGCTGTCATATGTCATGAAGATGTTGATGCAAAGAGGACCACAAGCAATCATTTGATTGAAGTCATTGAAGTTCTTGGGATTGAGGCAGTTCGACGTTCTCTCCTAGATGAATTGCGTGTTGTTATTTCCTTTGATGGGTCTTATGTTAATTACCGACATCTTGCTATCCTTTGTGACACAATGACCTATCGTGGCCACTTGATGGCAATTACACGTCATGGTATTAATCGAAATGATACTGGACCAATGATGAGATGCTCATTTGAAGAAACTGTGGATATTTTGCTTGATGCTGCAGTGTATGCTGAAACCGATCACTTGCGGGGTGTTACTGAAAATATAATGTTGGGTCAACTGGCACCCATAGGAACAGGAGGTTGTGCTTTGTATCTCAATGATGAGATGTTGAAGAATGCTATTGAACTCCAGCTTCCTAGTTACATAGACGGTCTGGATTTTGGCATGACGCCTTCCCGTTCCCCAATCTCAGGCACTCCTTATCATGAAGGGATGATGTCTCCTAGTTATTTGCTGAGTCCAAATCTACGCCTTTCACCCATTAGTGATGCTCAATTTTCACCCTATGTCGGAGGAATGGCTTTCTCTCCTACTTCATCTCCAGGCTATAGCCCATCATCTCCGGGCTACAGTCCATCATCACCTGGCTATAGTCCTACATCCCCTGGTTATAGTCCCACTTCTCCGGGATACAGCCCCACCTCTCCTGGCTACAGTCCAACGTCTCCAACCTACAGTCCTAGTTCTCCTGGTTATAGCCCAACTAGTCCTGCATATTCTCCTACGAGTCCATCCTATTCACCCACCTCTCCTAGTTACAGCCCCACCTCTCCAAGTTACAGCCCCACCTCCCCTAGTTACAGTCCCACGTCTCCAAGCTACAGCCCCACATCACCAAGCTACAGCCCCACTTCACCTGCTTACAGTCCCACTTCACCTGCTTACAGTCCCACTTCACCCGCATATAGCCCAACTTCCCCATCTTATAGCCCAACATCACCCTCTTACAGCCCTACCTCGCCTTCTTATAGCCCCACGTCACCCTCGTACAGCCCAACATCCCCTTCCTACAGTCCTACATCACCTTCATACAGCCCCACCTCTCCAGCATACAGCCCCACCTCTCCTGGCTATAGCCCTACATCCCCGAGCTATAGCCCCACTTCTCCAAGCTATAGTCCCACATCACCCAGTTATAATCCTCAATCAGCTAAGTACAGCCCATCACAGGCATACTCACCTAGTAGTCCACGGTTGTCGCCTTCAAGTCCATATAGCCCAACCTCGCCAAACTACAGGTAATATGTTGTTAAAGTTTTTTGGGATTAATCATCTTTAACACTGTTCATGAAATTGCATATTGGCTTGAGTATTTCCACTATTTTTTTCCCTACATTTATGGTCAAGTGTGTTTGTATCATCTTACAAGCTTGGACATCTTGTCATATCTTACAGCCCGACGTCACCATCATATTCACCAACATCTCCGGCTTATTCTCCATCAAGCCCAACCTACAGTCCTAGCAGGTAAAGTTTTACTGGCCCTTTCCTAGAGGGCTCTCTCTTACATCTATAATTTTAAACTAAAGCTATGATGATACACGATATTGTCTTTGCATTTCCTTAACCCATTGTTTTCCTTCTCTCTCTCTAGTCCATATAATACAGGACCCAGCCCAGAATTTAGCCCCAGTTCTCCACAATATAGGTTAGCTGATATAAACTTTTTACTAGTTGAACAGCTTACATCTATTCTCCTAGTCAGAATCTAATTGTTTATTCTCCTTGTAGTCCAAGCGCAGGATATTCGCCTACTGCTCCTGGGTATTCTCCATCATCTACTAGTCAGTACACTCCGCAAACGAGTGAGAAGGATGATAGAAGTAGAAAGGATGACAGGAGCAACCGATGAGGGGTCATAGAAAATATCTTGCTCGAAGGAAGAGGGTAAAGTTCTTGGAGCCCTGATCTCGGTGATGATAGAAATGAGGTTAACTGGTTTGTTTAATTTTCCTGAATTATTGGTCTTCAGGGTGTTCAATATTGTGGATTTCTCTTCTGTGATGCCTGCCATTATTTCTGGACTTGGAAAGGGGCCTTTTTGTTTCTTAGTAGCTGCATTCAGTATTTCGTTTAAAAGATTGGCTGGTTACATATTATATTAGAAGGGTTGAACTATATCCCCCACTAGAAAGCCTCTTTATTGTGGACAAGAGTGGTTTACTTGAAGTAGCTTTATATGGTTGCAAAGAATTAGAGGGAAGGAATCTAGAGTTGACAAAATCAGAGAAGACTGACTTTTGGTTCTGAAACAGTGGGCTGGCGTTTTGTATATAAAATTGATGCCTGGACACAACGTAGCACATGGTAATGTAGTTATTTTTCTTTTAGTTTAAATTCTACTCTCTTAAATTTTTTTCTATTTTGATCTCCGAAGCTTCAAACATTTTGTTTTAGAAACTGGACAAAAATGTGTGTTTTCTCGTTTACTTGAAGAGATGTGTTCATATTTACATGGACAATCCTTTTGAGAAAAGGGACAAAAACGAAACATTAGAAAGTTTGAATTAGAATTGATTTGATTCTTTTTGTTCTCTTAGATATATCATTGTAATTCTTCCTTCATTGAAAATTGAACTGATTGAGCAGGTAATTTGTAAATGTCAGGCCTTCAAACCACCAGGATGGGAAGAGGCAAATAACCGAGCACACATCGGGGCCAGGGCGTGTTACTCGGAATGAACACATCATATAATCTTCAGATGTCTTTTTTTCGTGTCAGTGTTGATGGGATTTCGTGAGGAACAAATCTGTCTCAAGTTTGTTTGTTTTGCTTTGAAGAAACTAGCTATTGTGGAATATTTACAAGCAAAAAACTGTCTCTGACAATTAGCCCCATCCTCTCCATGTAATTTTGTAAACTGCCAATAGTGAATGATTATTTTAAGAACCCTGTAATTTGTGAGACGCTGAAACTCTATTACACTGTTTAGGATAAATTATAACCTCCCTCGACGATTTATAGATTTTGAATTGTTTATAAAGTTCTATGAGTATCACATAAATCAGGTTCATGATTGCTCCAAGATTGTCTTGAAGTTGATGGATAGAAATAAATTGATGGTTATAATTAACTTGTCTGGTAGGTTTTGCTTTGTTTCTTAAGGTTTATGTACTTTAGATTTTAAAAAATGTTCAATCTGTTAACAACTTATTAGGCACATAATTATAAAATTTAAACCAATATTGACGCTTTAAAAACCTGGGATTAGACATTTTATTTTCTAAATTCATAGAACAACTTCGAAAGTTCGAACTCTAATTCTAAATTTATGGTGTCTGATTGGTTATTGTTATTGTTTTTTGTAGAAATTTTTTATAAATTAAATAAAATTTCTTTTATGTTTTCCATATTTTCCAAAATAGAGATAAAAATATATATATTTTTTAATTTTTGACTTGCAACATGCATAATAGATGTTGAAAATTAAAAAAAAAAAATATATATATATATATAAATTTTAAGTATTTAATTAGAAAATTAATTTTCATATAGAATTTTTACCTTTTTTTTATTTTTTAATTTAAAATGTTGGATGACAAGAAACAAATAGTTGTCAAACATGTTTCCCATAATTTCTTATATCTTTGTAATTTTATCTTCAACTCAAAAGTTAAACACTTTAAAATGAAGGAAAAAGTATAAAAAAGGGTAGATTTAAAATGATAATTTAACCTTTTTATACAAGTGCATTCTACAAAAACTGGCACAAAAGCTTTTGCTTTCATTTGAATGTGTGGAATAACTGAAGTTAAAGTTAAACAGGTTCAAAATCTTCCTCCATTATCCTTTCTAGTTTCTCCAATGTGTCAAAAATTTGTTCACTGAAGGGGTGAGATTCATCCTCCTTCCCAAACACATGATGGATCCTATCTATCTCAATTGAACTGCAACCAACTGGCTTCTTAATCTTCCTATCTCTCAGCAACTTCCTTAGTTTTGCAGCATCTTCCCACTGTCCTGCATCTTCATGCATACTAGCCAAGATCACGTATCGCCCCGCGTTTTCGGGATCCAGAACGAACAGCTTCTCCGCAGCTTCTTTGGCTACTTCTATGTTGTTATGTATTCGACAAGCGCCAAGCAACGCGCCATACACATCTTTCCCCGCCTGCATTGGCATGCCCTCAATGAACTTGACTGCTTGATCAACAAAACCAGCCCTACCTAAGAGATCCACCATGCACGCATAATGTTCCTCTTTCCTTTCCACACCGTAAGTCTCCATTTTTTCGTATATCTGGCGGCCTTTAGCAACGAGCCCTGCATGACTACATGTCGATAACAGATTCAAGAAGATCACACCATCTGGTTTCAGGCCAACTTCTTCCAAACTAGTGAACATGGTTAGTGCCTCATCAGCAAGACCATGCATTCCGTAACACCTGATAACCGCGCTCCATACGATGACGTTTTTGTCGTCGATTCGGTTGAAAACATCTCTAGCAATGTTCACATGACCACAGTTGGCATACATTGAAATGAGACAACTACCCAAAGGAGCACCAACTTGCATTCCTGTCTTTATAACATAGGAATGGACCCAGAAGCCGACCTGGGCGGCAGATTTTGAAACACAAGCAGGCAGAATCCCAACAAGAGTAGCATTATCAGGTGAGCAAGCACCTTGATTATGCACCATGGCATGAAAAAGCATGATGGCTTCATCCACTTTCCCATTTGAAGTAAACCCAGCAATCATAGAGTTCCAACTAACAATATCTTTCAGAGGCATTTCATCAAACACCTTCCTAGTTGTTTCAATGTCCAGGCACTTGGCATAAAACGCGATCAGAGCATTGCCCACGAACAAATCCAAGTCCAACCCCGATTTCAAAACGTGTCCATGAACAACCTTCCCCTTGTCCCTGTTCTTCATAGCGCCACATGCCTTCAACACAAAAGGGAATGTGTAACGATTGGTGGGTGCGCCATTGACTCGCATTTCATCAAACAGGTTGAGGGCTTCATCAAACGGTCCCCAATTGGCGTACCCTCGAATCACCACGTTCCACACGAACACATCTCTCTCAACCAATCTGTCGAACACCTTCCGTGCAACTCCCATTTTCGAGTCGCCATGCTCGGCGTATTTGCCGATTAATTTCGTGGCTAGGAATCCGTTTTGGTCGAGACCTTCAACGATGATTTGGGCGTGTAGTTCTTGAACGCTCCTGATGGTTCTACAATGCTGTAATAGGTTAGTGTAATCGTATGAATCGCGACGGTACTCCCCAGGACTTCGATCGCTGAGGAAGAATCTTAGAAATCTGAAGAATGGTTGGTTTTTCAACACAAGAGTTCGCGAAAGTCGCCGGCGAAGCCCGCGCATTGGGATCTTCGAAGCAAAAACCTGATACAATTACAGATAGAATCGTTAATGCCGGTAAAAGCTTATTGTTTGAATATATGGCGCCAGCGGAAAAAAACGCCGATCTTTTTTCCGCTACCGGACGACGTGGCGATTTATGGGTATGACGATGATGATGTCTTGTTGATCTTGACAAATAGATAGATTTATTGTTATTATTTTTTTTTTGAAACAACAAATAGAAAGATATCAATATCGACTAAATAAATATTTTTTAAAATAAAAATTTGCTTAGCAATTTTATATTACTTTTTTTTAATAGGGTACATTGCAAACTTGCTCAATTAATCATATATTATATCATCGACTAAAGTATCGAAAGAATGATCGGAATCTGTCCCTGACCAATTCGTGAGTAGCATCTCGGGTCGGCATAGTGTAGCGTCAAAAGCAGATATTTTTTTATTGCTCCGCTGACCTTTTCTAGGCCTCCTTCCTGCGGAACTGGATTGTCGATATCGACCGAATTTGTACTAACTGAAGAAGACAAAAGCTCTTTTTTCTGCAACGCTGCCTCTGTTTGAGAAGTCCTATCTATTGTGTTTCCTACCGATCTTTTAAATTTTTACTCTCACATGATTCTTTTTTAATATAAATTTTCAATGCTTAAACTGTTTTTTTTAGTGTAACAATATGTTAGGATAAGAATTTGAACCATGATTAAAGGTCGTAAATATATGTCTTGACCAATTGATATATGTTTAGGTTTACGATTATTGAACTTTTATAAAATAACTATTTTGATATTAAAATCACGTTGTCAATATTTATTTCTCCCTATTTGTCTCAACGGAGTGTAATACATATATATGCAATTAGCAAGTTAATGTATATATAACAAATCAAACTTTTTAGCTAAGAAAAAAAATCAAATTATTTGTCTTTTAAACAATTAAAAAAAATAATTATAAGAACCAACATAACTATTTTTCAAAAAATTTAATGACTAACAAAAATAAAAGAGTCCTAGTAGTCTCAAAATGAAACAAGATTTAAAAAATTATTAGTTAAATTATAAGTTTGGTCTCTAAATTTTTAGGCGTGTAACTATTACTATTTAGTACTTTTAATTTTAAAAAAATTATATTTAGTAATGAACTTTAAATTTCGTGTCCAACAAGTCGGGTTTGTAATCTTTATTTTTTCTTTTGAATTCAACAATACGTGAGAATGAAAATTTGAACCGGATCGAATTTGAACCTAGTCGAAACCTAGTCAAAATACCTCGCTTAATTAATTTTGAGTAACGCTAAGGTAACCAAAATCCTAAAATGTTGAAAGACACTACCCTGAAGTTGAGTAACCAATTCAAATTCCAAAGAAACTTAATCCATAAAAATGAATTTAGAGAAAAGTTTGAAACTTTGAATCTTGTTTTCGTGTTTTGTTTCGATGGTTTGATGGGTGTCCGTATTTTGGCTCATCCTTTGATCGATTTTTGTCCATTTCTCCCAAATCTCCTCTCTCAATCGATTTCGATTCAGATTTCAGCGGATTGAAACAAACTATTGTGTACAGCGGAAAAGAGGCTTTTTCAGGCCGACCCCACTCCCCGCAACTGCCTAGTTTCCCTTTCCCTTTCACATTTTTCATCTTCATCTTCATCTTCTTCATCTTCCCTTCAATCCCATCTCCATTTTTCTGTGTTTTTTTCCCGATTACAATGCTGGGTCTCAGCCCCCACTTCTGCGTTCGCACCCTTTTCGCCGGATTCGCCATGGCCGGCGATCACCCCACTCATTCTCGCCCCTCCGCCGCTTCCTGGTTCGCCTCCTCTTCGCTCCACTTCTCCGCGCTTCCATCGCGCTCCAATGCCGGACGCTCTCGCCGCCGCAACTCGATCCTCGTTTCCTGCCACTCTTCTCGTGCTAGATCCGGGAGCACTGATGATGATTCCCATCAAGATTATTTCGAAGCTTCGTTTCTCGTTTCAGGTGTTCTAACTTTGATCTTTGTTACGATTGCCGATTGAATCGATGGGTTCTTTGGGATTTCAATTTTTGTTTGATTTGGGTTTGTTTGCATTACTTACTAACAGAGACTATCCATCACTATCGAATGTGGAAGAGGAGATTTCAAGAGGATGCGAATTTCAACCAGAGAGAATCGCGAGGCAATTCCCATTCACTTGGGCTGGGATTTCTTAGACGTTTTCGAAGCCCCACTGTGTTTCTGAAGATTTCTTGCAATGGAGACTTTCTACTGCCAATTGTCGTTGGTATGTTGGACAAAATTTCTTACGTGATCAACGTTCTTGTTTTCTGATGAATTTGTCAAGGAAAGAAGCTGTAAATTTTGGACTTGGTTTCTATGTTGCAGGGGAATATGCTATTGAGAAACTTATAGATTGTCAACTAGGGATTGAAAATGGGGTAGGTATTTTTTTTTTTGTGGCTTTTATTATTCATATTTTTGGTTCTTTACTCTGTAGTTGGTATTAATTCTCAAACCATCATATTTCAGGATTCCCCAGATCTCTTCGAGTTTATACAAAATCTCATGGTGAAATTTGGCTATGAAGTATGGAACTACTTTATTTTTTGTTTTTGATTTCTTTGTGTGTTTGTTCTTTTTGCTGAATCTGTTATACGTTTAGTTCATATTGCAATATATATACACTACTTTTGTCTTGCGTCTCTTTAAGAACCAAAGGACTAAAGAATCTGCTTGTTTTGTTAGTTTTATAACTCGTATCGGAATGTAAGCATACATGATGGGACGAAACTATATAATTTGAGATATAATTCTTCATCTGTTCGTGGTTTGTCATTAACTTTTCTCAAGGAGGTGACGTAATTAACATTCCTCAACTGCATTATTTCTTTTAAGCTCGACGATTGGCGATAGGAATCAATCTCCCTTCCTCGACTTGTTACTTCTTATGTAATTGATCATAAAATCTTTAACTCCAAAGATTCTGAATCAGTGCTTTGTACTTCTCACGTACATTGTTTTCTTGGCTTGCTATGAAAAAGGGGTTTAGAACCATAATCTAATGTCATTTTATGTTGTTAAACGCTTACAGATCACCACCGCAAAAATCACAGAAAGAGTGGTGAACACTTACTTTGCCCGGCTGTTCCTGAGAAAGGTTAGTTCTTATTAATTCAGCCACAGTCAGGCCAAAGAATTTTCAAAGTTTACAATTCTGGATTATCATCTGCAGGATGGGGAAAATGAGATGTTAAGTGTGGATGCACGCCCATCAGATGCCCTAAATATTGCATATCGATGTAAGGTATATATTCTACCGTTGACTGCCGAAATCTTCGCAGAACTTCTGCAAGAGGCACGAATGACTTAGGGCCCATTTGGTAACGTTCCCGTTTCTTGTTTCTCGTTTCCAATTTTCTTAAGAAATCTAAGTATTTTACAACTAACTTTGTTTCTTGTTTTCTCCTTTTTTGGGACATTCTCACAATTGTATAGAAATTTTGAGAACAATCAAAACAAGTTTCTCTTTTCTTATTCCATTTTCAATTTGTTCCAAAACATAAATAAAAACATTGTTTTATCATACTTGAATTCTTGGAGGTTGAAACCATGCAACACATTTTTCTTCATTAAAAATAAAGAAACAGGAACGTTACCAAACGAGCCCTTAATTTCCATTAAAATGAAGAACATTAGTTTTAATGCTTATTTGGAATGCTTTACTTAGCACTAGCACCCTTCCACACCCCCTATAATTCTCTACAGAAATAATTTCTTACTTTAACGAATGTGCAGATACCAGTACTTGTTAGTAAGCAGATTGTCTATGAGGATGCCATAAAAGTTAGTTATGGGTTTGGAAGAGTGCATGAGAGAAAGTCGTGTTTTGATGTTTTACTTGACAGGTATCATGAGTTGACTGTTAGCTATTGGATAGAGATCTTTTCTGGATATCTAAAAACAATCATGTCTCATTCAGTGCTGCAGATGGTCCAGATTTCTTGTCCCAGGAACTCGATATGTTGAAGAACATGAAACGGGCTATTTACGAAGAACGGTACAAGGATGCAGGTATGAAAGAGAGGGCCAACGCCAACCTATTAATTCCTATTGCAACAATGTCTAATCCAGGCATTTTGTTTCTGATCATGTTTATGCAAAGAGGGTACTTATACTTATGATTGATATATGTTTCCTTCAGCCATGTGGAGGGATAAGTTAACAAGACTCCGCAAGTTGATACACGAGGCATAACTTCGATATTCCAACTCATCTGTCTGCTATCGGACTTTTCGTCCCTTTAAGTAACTCTCGGTAATTGACTGCTGTACAGAGAGGTTCCATAAAGCAAAATGTGTTCGAATTTTTCTGATACTGCACCCTAAAATAGGGTGAATCTTCTGTTGGTTGTGAATCACTCACTCACAGGCATCTTACGAACATACAATCCGCACGGGATGGATTGGGAACTCCAAGCGGAGCGATATGCATCGTTCATAGTGATGGCAGGCCTGTACAGTTAATTTAAGAGTATGTATGTAAATATTACATTGGGGGTAGTCATTGTGTTGCATCTCCAAGTTATGGATGGGATGGGGCTGATAAGATAATTCTTTTCACATAGAGAGCTGTAATTTTGTAAGTTTGCAGTGAATGGTAAGGTGAAGAGGATGCTTTTGTATATTATAACAAAGTCTCATTTCTCTTTCATACGTACACTCCTTTTCTCATTCTAGAAAGAATTCCATTTGAATGTTTTGTTATGGTCTTCGGTCTTTCCATTCATATATGGTTATTTTATTGTTCACCCATCTTCGCCTTTTTGTTAACTTCTCTTTGATCGGCCAAGGTTCGGATCTCATAGGCTATTTTCTCATTCAAAAGGTAACTTTCATGGCTGATCTTTCGAAAGGATTGTGTTTTGCGCTAGATTTTTTAAGGTTATTTTTCCACTCGTGGGAGTTTCTTTTTCGAAGCATATAATATAAGAATATGTATATGTACCACTTGAACAGAAGAAAAGGAATAAAAGACTTCTATTTCCAATAAAGAGGGAAATATGAGAAAATGGTAAGAATTGTTTACCAAAGCCGCTCCAAAGAATGTGGCATTCTCCTGTATTACCATCTCCCATCTAGAAAGCCAAGTCCAAACACCCTAACTTAACTAAGAAACAGAAAATAAGAAACGAGAACATTTTAAGGTCCATTTAGTAACGTCTTCGTATCTTGTTTCCCACTCCCTCTTTTTTAATAAGAAAAATAATTACATTTAGTAACTATTTCTTGTCCTTTAGAAGTCAAGAACGATAAAACTTAACTACGTTGACTTTCTAAGGTCTGACCTTTCGCTCCCCTACTGAAAAGGAGCAAAGCAGCTAAGATTCAATTCAAAAGGTCCTACTTAGTTTCGTAAGCCTTGTCATTGTCAGTCAATTAAGTAGGGCCTGAGGCCCCCTGCGAATCYGTAAATCTCAGGAGCATGCCACAACAAAAGGATGGTCCCCTATGCATTTCATTCTTTCCGGAAGGGGAAAAAAAAAGAAGTACCCTCATCATGGTGAACCTCTCCTTGTGATCGGGACGAGGAAACAGGAACAAGAAATAAGAAACACTTGATTGTGTTGTTTAAAAAAAAATTTTATACAATTTTGGAAATGTCTCTAAAAATGAGAAACAAAAGACATAAACCATTGCCACGAAAAAAAATGAAACAACAAGAAACGGAAATGATACGAAACGGGTCATCATAACCAATACTTGTTACCATATTTATGCCAGCAGATGAGCATGATGAGACATCTCCTTGCAATATAGAACCTGGATTTTGTCTCTTTTATCATCTCCATAAACCCAAACTTGTGTTCCTCTGAGCTCTCCCACTCTTCTCTGCCATTCCCTTTTCTGGATTGGCACTGACCCATCTGAATCTTCTTCTTCTTCTTCTGATATTGTTAATTGTTATGTTTCTCCTAATTCCTTTTCCTTTGCAACCTTTGACACTGTCTTCTCTTCAACCTCCTCTTCTTCTTCTCTGCTTCTTCTTCATCTTTTGGTATCGTTTCCGCTTCTTTTTTCCTCTTGCTTTTGCTTCTTTTCTGTTCTTCAGAGTTTCTCTGAAAGCAGAGACAGAGAGGGTGTTATATTCATCAAACTGATTGTCCCATTTGTCTTTATTGCCCTTTGGCCACAATGATTGGTCACCGTCATCGTCCTCTTCTCCGAGAAAAACAATAAAAAAGAAACAGTTATCAAATACAGTTCTACTGTTTATTTGTTAAAAAGAGATTGAACTAAAAAATAAGAAACTAAGTTAGGGCCTACATTGATTTCTTCTAAGTTCTACCAAAAATGTTTGGATTATAGCTGGATAATCATCTTCATTGTCAATTCATTATGCGTTGGCAAGCACTGATTGGTGTTCCAACTTAATATTCTTTTAATTATTAGAAGAACTCCAAACGCATCTGACTTGGCAGAAAAGAATAAAAAAGTTGTCTTTTTTAAGTTTTTGGTTTTGGGTTTGGTTTTAGGTTCACTGATTATAAGGATTTTAATTTGTTGGAGACAAGTTATGTTATCAAAACAACTCTAGGATAAGATTTTGATGATATATTTTTTTTTTGCGTGAGTCTAGGGAGTACGATTAAGATTGTTTCAAAATTCGATAGTTCGATCTCCCAACCTATCATTGTTGAACTAAAAAAGAGTTATCTTTTTCTTTAGTTTTTGGTGGTTTTAGTTTGAACAATAATGTTATTCTTGACTATTTGTTTGGTGGAGACATTACTTCTTAGTTTCCTTTTTCTCCTGATTAAATTTTAAACTTACTATCCTCGATTAGTCAGTGTATTTTTTTTTCTTTTTTCTTTGTGGTTAGACAAATTTAGCGAGTAATCGAGTATTTTGGTTGTGATGAATGCTTTTTAGTTGGATTGAGAATTGCAGTTCATTGTTCTTTTAAAAATATCTTTATTTTTGTATTTCTCTTTTTTAGTTGTGGTTCGGACAAAATAGATCATGACCAGATTATTTTGCTAGTTTGACAATTTTTGAATCATTTATTATTTTATTTCTTATTATTCAATATATTCCCTCTCTCTCTCTAACATTGAGATTGATTTTTCTTTTTTCTTTTTAAGTCTTCATCATTGAGATTGATAATGGTTAATCATGCATGTACCATGTATCCAATTTTTATATATGTGGGTCAGTTCAATATAATACAAACTAGCTTTGGTAAGCACCTGAATTTACAATGCTTTAAAAAACTTGGTGGTTTCAACAACAAGATTCCTTGGGAGTTCAAATATATTGAGAGAAAGAGGCACCCAACTCATTCACAATCTATTCCTATCTTCATGCTCATGCAATAATGCAAAATATTTTAAGAATACATAGTTCAAAATTTCCATCAAGACAAATGTCACAAAGAAAGATTTAAAATGTTTTGATAATGTTACTATTTCTCTTATTTTTATTTCTAGTTTTTTGAGAACTATATAAACGTTTTTTTTTACAACTATTCATGTTTCTCATTTTTCATTTTCTAAGAAAATATTTCTATTGATTGGCTGAAGGTAAAAAATATTTAAGGCAAGTCTTCCACCTCAACATACAAACTGTTGGAGGAGAGAACTTCCAAAGGCCGACCTGTTTGAGACTACACAGATCGGCCTGGAGAGGGCGGGATTCGACACGCTCAGATGAGGCTGGGACGCCCTCAAGCGTCCCACCATGACGTAGGGTTGGACTCTGGAGGGATCCGTATGGACCGATGGTCCTTGGCATGCCCCCAACCCGAGTAGAGTAATACCCTGATGGGACAAGTAACTACCCATTTGATTGCTATAAATACACCACCACCCATTAAGTCAAATATGAGAATCTATCTGAAGCTGATTTGTCTAAGCTCTGATTTCATACTAACTTGAGCGTCAAAATGGCTTACCTGTTCCTGCAGGTACTTTGAAGAATCTCGCTCACTAAGACAAGTATGAGAATTTGTCTGAAACTGATTTATCTAAGCTCTGATCCCATACTAACTTGAGCGTCAGAGTGGCTTATCTGTCTCTGCAGGTACTTTGAAGAAGTTCGCTCCCACCAGCTCGCACCGACCTCACAGGTTGCACCTGAGGACTTAGGTAGATTTAGGGATCAACAAAGATGATTTCATCTTAACACTGTGTTAACGAGTCACTACTCTAGGGAGGATTATGTTGACCTCTCACGAGCTCTCTCACCTATTTTTTCAGGTTTGGTGTGCTCATTCGACCTTAATTTGCTTGGCATAGTGTTGACCTTATCTAGAGATATATCGCTCTACGCCGGATTCAACACAAATATTACCGAACTTATCAATTGGTGCCACATAGGTTACAATTATTCGAGAATTTCACGCATAACCTTCCCTATTCAAGAATGTTTTGAAAAGTTTGTTTGTTCATGAAGTCTTAATTTGTATTGAAGACTTTATTGGGAAAATTTTCGAATTTCTTATGAGTCAACATTTGCTACAGAAGATTCTTAATTTTAAATTTCCAATTTTTCAAATCTTGATTTCTAGCCCTCCAACATTCATCCCACCCACTTTGGCTGGTTTTCAAAGTTCAAAGCATACTGGCAAAAGATCTTGCTAAGTAGTTGACAATTGCAAACAACTCAATTATTTGCACTATATTCATCATTTATCTCGTTGAAAAGATTGATTTTTGTTAACTTTTTTAATATATGGACGGTGGAGAGGTGAACTCACGATTTTTTGATTAGATATGTACTTAACAAGTTGAGTTATGTTCAGCTTGATAAATTTTTTGGTCAACTCTTGTAGCTGCAAGGAGGAGGTAGATATATCTCTAGCATAATCAAATTTGGATCCATCACTTAATTTTTTTTTGTTAAAATAACCACTTTGATTTTTATTAAATGTAATCTAAAAACTTAAGATTTGAAATCAATTTCTGCCTCTTTCTTAGTCTCAAATCCCAGGTTCTCTTTACAAATTTTATCTTCAACTATTTTATCGTTTCTTAAATACTATTCAAGTAAACTTCCAGGTTAATTACCTACTTTATTATGAATTCTTCCATATCAACCTTCTTTCCAAATTTTTTTAATTAATTAATTTATTATATATATATATATACACAAAGCACATGGTTCAGGTTGAGTTCAGTGGACAGTGGTCGGATCAGAACTTTGCGTCTTTCTTTAAATTTATTATTTAAAAAAAAGAAAAAATCGTTTCCAAATTGCAATATCCAAATTCCAAGAATTGGAATCTGCAATTTAATTTAATATAGTCCAGGTGGGCCCAGATGACTCGACCCCGACTGTATTGCGATGACGTGTCAATCTCCTGAAACCTATCTTCTTCTCCGAAACCCAAACAATCTAAAAAATCTCTCTTTTACTTCACCGCACCAACTTCTGTTCTGCTCTCTGATCCGATTATTCCCATTCCCATGTGCGATCCTCCGATCAATCATTCCTCCTTCGATTTACCTCTGCAGTTTCATCAGATTCCGTATCAATGCCGATTGAGGAAGAAGATGTTGAGAGCTGTGGCAGCAGGCCCTCACCCACGCATTCCTCATCCCACGCCAACCCTAGGCATCACCGCCACAAGTTCCAGGTCTACAGCGAAGTCCTCCGTCGAATCCAGGATTCCGATTTCCGGGAGGCTAATCTCCCTGGCTTTGATCATCAGCTCTGGCTCCATTTCAATCGCCTCCCTGCCAGGTTTCTTCCTTGCCCTACATCCCCATTTCGTGGTGGATTACTGGCTAGACCCTAATTTGTCGCGTAATTCTCAGTTTGGAATTGTGGAATTTGACTCCTGCAGTGCACAAATCCAACCGAAATCACTCTCTCTCTCTCATGCACTGCACACTGTCCAAATATGCTAATTAGACAATACTTTAATGGTGATCTGAAAATAGTAATATGAAGAAAACAGAGTTGTTTGGTAGAAGATTTGAAAACTGAATCTAAGTTTTAAAAATTGTTTAACGTGTTTAGTTACGCTGGTAGTGGCCCACTAAATATATTGATTAATTTGTTAAATTTTGTTTAATTAGTATTTAACAATATTATATATTTTTATAATATATTATAATTTACAATTTTTTATTTTAACAAAAATGAAATTAATATAATATATTTATGAAAGTTTTTTTCTTTCCTTACGTAATTTTGCATGTTAAAGTATCAAATTTAGAATTTGAAAACACTCCAAACAAAATATGTTTGGATATGTTGTTTTCAGAATTTCTACTAATGATTCAGTGAATATGAAAATAAGAAACAGAATCTGGACTGCACACCAAAAGCTAATCAATAATTTTTAATAGATTTGAGATATGCACTATGTCAAATTGACAAGTTTGAAAGATTAAGGAAGCAATTGAGGCATTGTGCAATGGACTAAATCGCAAAGTTTGGATTTAGTTCAATTACGTTATTTGTGTGGCGAGGTTTCACGTGCTTGCTCGTTGTTTAGAGCATTAGTTCTTCAGTATGTAGTTTGGACTTTGGATTACAAACTCATCTGTTATTTTTCCTTTATCGGTTGTTATATTAACTTTTTGTTAAGTTCCGATTATTGCTGTATAGATACGCGTTGGATGTGAATGTTGACCGAGCAGAAGATGTACTCACACATAAGAGATTACTTCAATTGGCTGTAGACCCTGCTAATCGACCTGCATTTGAAGTTCGTTCTGTTCAGGTAAAGTGCATACAACTGCTTGAACCGTTACGCCAATTGAATCAATTTGACTGCTAGCAGTTCAGCTCTTCTTTATTCTTGCTATGATGTGATTTCGACATAACATGAGCAAATGAGTATTCATTATCGTTACAAATCACGTGAATAGATACTGAAATAGTATGTGGTTTCAAAGAGCAGAACTTCATGACAATGTATCTATAGGATCTATTCTGTTTTCGTACAATCTGTTCTCTAATTGTTCTACTTTTGTTATATGCTTATTGCTATTTCATAAAAATAGCTTAACCTTCTTTAAGATAGAAAGATGAAGAATTGAGCTTCAAGGATTTTGTTTCTAGATTTTATCTTGCGTAGAAGCTTTATATAGACTTTTGTCATAATGTAGGTTTATCCTTCTTCCAACGAAAACTATATCAATTCTTCCTGTTTGGATTCTTCAATGATTGAAGATGCTCAGAGCTCTTTCAATTATTCTAATATACAGGGGTGCGTCTCAGTAATGTTCTTCCATCTATATGTGTCTTTACAATTATGTTCTGATTCTAATTTTTGTTTTTGTACCCATTGATTTACTCTCTCTATCTCTAGGAACCATCCTCCTCCAACCTTTGGTTCTTCACCTCATCTGGAAGCACTTGCACTACAAGCCAGCAAATATGGCGTTGAAGATGGAGACAGTGCCCTACATGTGACACCCTGCTTCTCACGGTGAGGAGAAAAGAATTTCTTTTTACAGCAGCACGATAAAATTGTAAAAGACAAGAACAACGATCTAGTTACTCATTTTTTAACTACATCTCTATCTAGAACTTATGGAGAGGAGGCCAATATGAGCTTAGCTCAACGGTAATTGAATTGGCAAACCTCTTTGACCAAGAGGTCATGAGTTCGAATCTCTCACTTCACTTGTTATAAAAAAAAAAAAATTATGGAGAGGAGGAACATCTTCATCTGCCAATATATTAATATATTATTTAATGCCTGACCCCTTTTCTTGTCCAGTTTCTTCATGCTTTCATTGAACCTTTGGACGCTTCATTCATTATTCTTTTCAATTTTTTATCCGTTTGATTCAATTTGTTCTCCAAGTGGCAGCGAAACAACTGAGTTATAAATCTAATGTCATGCAGAACAATAAAAATATTATTTTTTGTTTACCGCATACAGTGTTATTTTTTTGTTGATAGGAAATATACAATGTTAGTTGTATAACTGCTTTTGACACAATGGTGTTTTTGTAACCTAATGTTTCATTCTACCATTGCCAATTTATAGGCCAATGCATGAGATTACATTTGCAACAAGTGACAAGCCTAAACTCCTCAGTCAGGTATTTGACCAATTTATCACCAATTTAATCACTCATGATCGTAGTTTCTGAAGTGTGCTAAATAGAACTGCAAAAAATTTTCACCTACTTCAAATAATCATGTTAGCTTTATGCTGCTACAAGTTTGTCAAACCACGACCAAGATTTTAATGCTGTATGTTCACCTGCTGATGGATTTTACTATTTCTTGCTTGAACGTGTACAAAAATGAAATATAATTTGAACTTATATTGCAGTTGTAACTTGGGCATTTGAGACTACATAATTTGAGGGGCCTGCATTTGCTGTTTCATTGGGCTTTCTTCATTTTAGTATTTTATATTGCATACCTCGAGCATTGCTCTTTTTCTTGTAACTCTCAACAAGTGTGATTATAATAGACTAACCATTTATTACTAATAACTGACTACGACAGCTTAACAAGCTTAACAGAAACGTTTTCTAATGAGCCACCTTAACATGGCATTTAACACATGTTTAAAGTTTATGTGTTTAACACTTCAGTGCTTCCATCAAAGAAAAAATATGAAAACATAGGTGACCTCAGTTGTTAATAAGCAGTGTCAGGAGTCCTACTCCTCACAGAAAGAAGAATTATGTATCTCATTCATGATTGCTACCTTTACGAAAGTATGTTTCTGGAATGGTAGGTTGTCAGGCATTCTTGATATGCTACAAGTATTTAAACTTAAATTAAATGAGATATTTAAGATGCTAGGGTTTTTCTTTTCCCTTTATTTATCACACCCTTCACCGGATAATAGAAAGTCTTGATTCTGGTCAGTTAACTTCCTTACTAGCTGATGTTGGACTTAACATACAAGAAGCTCATGCATTCTCCTCTGTTGATGGTTTCTCTCTGGATGTTTTTGTCATTGATGGTTGGCCTTATGAGGTAAGATCTGATGTTAGGGTGGTAAAATTTGGTGGAGCTTTTCTCCGTTTACTTTCTGATCAATATTCGGAAGTTTACAAGAGCAATGTATTCTAACATCTTTTAATATTTTATTGCACATATCCTTTATATCAATAATTTTCATATTTATCTACTTGAATATTGGCAATTGTAGGAAACTGAGGAGCTTAAAAGGGCATTAGAAAAAGAAATTTTAAATTTTAAGGTATCTTCTTAGTTCTTTATATTATTTGAACGACTTCCAATTTTTACTGATAAATTCTCAGAATTATTATTATTATTATTATTTTTTAACGTACCTGAAATGGGATGCAGGAGCAGTGTTGGTCAGAAAAACAGTCAAGTTCTGCCTTGGGTAAGAATAACCAGAATAGAGTCGAATCTTTTCCTAGTTGTGTTGAAATACCTGCTGATGGTACTGATGTCTGGGAAATTGACACCAGACAACTAAAACTTGAGAATAAAGTTGGATCCGGGTCATATGGGGACCTGTAAGTTTTATCCAATTATAACATATGATTGTTAACTTATAAAAAAATTGTTAACATGTCCTCCTCCTAATCTTCCCTCCCTCTCCTCTCAAGGTATCGGGGCACGTATTTTAGTCAGGAAGTAGCTATTAAAGTACTGAGGCCTGAGCTTATTAATGAAGAGATGATCAAAGAATTCTCTCAAGAAGTTTATATAATGAGGTTTGTCTATATTGTTATTAACACCATTGTACTCTAGAAGAACATATGGTATGACGTTGAAGGACAATGTGGGATGCATCGGGTTTTAGGCTCAAAATGTAGCAATCTGAAGAGGTAGGACTTAGATATTGTACTACTTTAAAGTTTCGGTTGAATTTAAGATCATCCGTTACTTTCTAATCTTTAGTCTTCAAAAGAATGCTTCTACTTGGTAAGAGGTGCTTCTGGTCTTAGAGTTACATTCTTGTTATAGTCGAGGTAAAACAGTGGCACGCTACTAATCTCATATTTGGTAACAAACAAAACAACATATCAATTTAAAAGAGGATTTTTGAATGACGGAAGATGATGGAAAATGTCTAGAAATGCAAGCCCAATGGAAAGCTAATGTTTTTTTAGGTCTTTCAAAAGTTGAGCGGGCATCTCTAAATATGTTTTAAGAAAATCATCTAACTTACATTTCATTGGTATCGCTAAATATTCCTCTCCAAATACTTTTTCCATTTAAAAAAAATCCTACATTGATCCTGAAGACAGATGGCTTTAGAAGATTCCCATAAAAGCATTTGAAGCAATTTAAACCAATAGATTCCAAATGTTTCTTGCACAATGCACCTACATGGAGACGAATAACGCACGATGGAGTCTCTCAATGTTATACTAAAGCCCGATATCCTATTTTTGCAGGAAAGTTCGGCACAAAAATGTTGTTCAATTTATTGGCGCTTGTACTAGACCTTCAAACCTGTGCATTGTGACGGGTAAGCTATGATACATAAATGGCTTCATATGTGAGGTTGTAACTTGTCACTTCTAGAACCTTTGTTTCTTACCGTTCGCAAAAGTTCTGTAAGGATTAGCTATAGGACATTAGCCTAAACAATACGTTTCTAATTGTATATTGTATGTTCCTTGTAGCGCACACACATAGCGATTTTCATGATATTGTTTTTTAGTTTGTTTCTCATTCAATTGAATATTCCTCCTTTTACATTTTGGACAGAGTTTATGTCGAGAGGAAGCATATTTGACTTCCTTCATAAGCAAAGAGGTGTATTTAACCTTCCGTCTTTGCTTAAAGTAGCCATTGATATTTCAAGAGGGATGAATTATTTGCACCAAAATAATATAATCCATCGAGACCTCAAGACTGCTAATCTTCTAATGGATGAAAACATGGTAAGGGAATTTAATGAACCTGCTCGAATGAGAAACCTTCATCAATTTATTACCAATTACGCACATCCATTAGTTCTTCTCATAATCTTCTATTGTAAGTTAATTCACTAATGCATTTACTTGTCTGTCTTTTAGTAACTATCTGTCCTATTTGTCAATCCAATCTGCTCTTGTTTGTCTTTTAATAATAAGCATTTACACTGATGTTTTGTGCAATTATGTGCACAAACTTGCATTAGTGTGCCTATTTCTGATAAGCATAACAGGCTATGTTGATTTGTTTAAAGAAAAAGCCGAAGAAGAAGAAAAAAGATTGGAAATGAATATTTGGCGCTCACGATTTTAAAACATAGATCCTTCAACACAGGTTGTTAAGGTTGCTGATTTTGGAGTTGCCAGAGTCCAAACTCAATCTGGAGTGATGACAGCTGAAACTGGAACATACCGGTGGATGGCTCCTGAAGTATGTATCTTTCGTCGATTTCTTATATGGTTATACCTTGCATGTCTTTTTAATCGTTCCAAAACAAATATTCCTTACTGGATGACAAGAACGTTTCAAATTTAGTATTATACTTCATATGCTTGTATAAAATTGCTGTGTGCAATTTGGTTAAATTTCAACCTAGCTTGCTTAGCTGGCAGTCTGCTGGTCTGACACATTTTCTATTATATCTTGCTTTCTCTCTCCCGTGACCAATTCAAATTATAAACTAGACTTTGCATCTTGATCTTACTATCATCATCAAGAGTGATGAATTTAAGACACCGAATGACTACAAGGTTCAATGGAAAGCACGGATTTAGATGGAGCAGAGTACTTAGAAAGGGTATATCTAACCTTGACGACATATTAAATCTTCTGCTTTTGTTCTTGACGCACCTCCAATATTTCTTCCTTGAGCTAAAAATTCATAACATCACAACTTATTTTAGTTAATGACTTGTTTACTTAACATGAGTTTTACACAATTGCCTTCCTCTGGTGGCTTATGTGTGGAAGTTAAAAATTCCAAACAAAGTAGAGTTGTTTCTGTGGACTTTGGCTTATCGAAGTCTGAGTACTCAAGGGAAACTTCAAAGAAAATTCCCTTCGTGGGCACTTTCTCCATCGATTTGCTGCTTGTGTCGAAAGAAAAGTGAAAGTCTTGACCATTATTTATCCACTTTCCTTTTAGGTTGCATTTGTGCCTTCTAAAGAAGATTGATGATTGGGTTCTCAAGGTTTTGGGTGGCTAGCAGTTCAAAGGCAAAGCAAAAATTCTAAGGAATTGTTCCGTTAGGTATTTTTTGTGGCATGTTTGGAAGGAAAAGAATTATAGGATTTTTGAAGATGAGTCATCTTCTTTTGATTCTTTTTGTAATAGCTTTAAAATTACCAGCTCTTGGTGGTGCTCAAATCATTTTCTTTACGAGAAACCAAAATTTTCATTGAGACAAATGAAAACAAAAGCATATGAACAAGGACATAAAGAAAAACAGCCCGCATGGAAGAACCCCACATAAAGAAAGGGTCTTCAATCCAAAAGGATAAAGCCCAACTGATAATTACAAAACAAATTCAAAACGAATCCCATAAAAAGACATTAAATCTAATGAGATTCCAAGTAGATTTCCTGTTTCTCTCCACTCCCCTAAAGGTCCTATTAATTCTCTCAATCCAAATACCCCACAAGACAGTAAAGAAACAAGCTTGCCACAAAAAAAAAACCTCCCTTTTTCACGAAAAGGAGAGGACAAAAGTACTTCCTCCAACATAACTCCACAATCCCTATTACAGAACAAGCCACGTCAAAGATCTCAAAGAACGGCCCCCAAATGCCTTGGGAGAAGAACAATGCCACAAAATATGATCAAGATCATTCGAAACGTTCTTGCAAAGAACACACCAATGTGACCCCAAACAAAATGAAGAGGTCCTTTGAATACGATCCAAAGTGCTAACTTTTCCAAGTAAGACCTGCCACACAGAAAACTTAATCTTCTTTGGAATTTTCACTTTCCAAGAGCAGGGGAATACAAAACCTTAACGAAAGAACTACAAGAGAACCCTTCGCTAACTAGGGGACCAAACACGAGAATCTTTTCTATCTCGAAAAATAGGAGCACCTGTGAGCAAAAGGAGCATTTCAGCAGTTTCCCGAGATTCTCTATCAGTCAAAGTCCGACCAATGCCTAAAGAAAGAGACAACCCAAACCCCCCTTGAATCCAACAATGAGGCGAATTTAACAATGAGGCCACCGAATGTAACCTCCTGTCAGATAAGTGATAGAGACGAGGGAATAAAGATCAAAGGGGTTTTTATCACCCACCCAAAGGTCCTCCCAAAAGTAGATATCATGACCATCCCCAACTAAACTAGACAAAAATTAAATTGGGAAAAGAACGGAAAACCAGAGGAAATAGCCTTCTAGGGGTTGTTAGTGCTAACCTTAAGCTCTCTGTTTGAGGCCCAGTTAAAAGGATATGGCCCATATTTGCTCACGATAATCCTATGCCACAAGGCACCAGGCTCTTGACAGAATCGGCACAACCATTTAGCCAAATAGTGCGTCATTTCTCAGTCTCAGATTCTCGATACCCAGGCCCCGCGGCCTCCAACGACTTGGAAACAACCTCCCAATTAACTAAGTGAACTCCATCTCCCTCGTCCACCCCTTCTTAGAGGAAATCCCTCATAATTTTCTCCAAACTTCTACTGACCGTCGGACTTTGAAAAGAGAGAGGTAGTATAAGGGAATCCCGCCTAGAGTTGATTGAATAAGTGTTAAATCTCCCCCATTTAGAGAGAGCTTTTTTCCACAAGGACATACGCTTCTGAATCTTCTCCAACACCGGGGTCCAAAAGGAAAGACACTTATGATTATGGCTTAAGGGAAGGCCTAAACAAGAAGATGGGAGAGCCGCCACTTCACGCCCTACCAGGGAGGCCCAAGAGAGAAGTTTTGAGGGATCATAATTAATACCCAAAAGCGAACTCTTGCCTCTATTATTCTTGACCCATAAAATAGCCTAAAAAAGACAGAAGAATGTTCAGATTGCTAAAAGCGACTTCCTTCCCCGAACAGAAGAAAAAAGAGTATCATCAGCAAACTGAAGGTAGGATAAACTCGTCCTCTTCCCCACGACAAAACCCTCCAAAGCCCCCTTTTTCACACCTGAAGAGACCAACTTGTTCAGAATGTCCACCACTAAGATGGAAGAAACGGAGACAAAGTATCTCCTTGTCTCGGACCCCTAGTGGATTTAATTTTCCCCCTAGGCCCCCGATTAACCAAGATCGAAAAATTAACCAACCTTTTACAGTTCCAAGTCCAAGATCTCCATTTAAAGCCAAAACCCTTCCTCCACGACACTTGATCCAAGAAGTTCCAATCGACATGATCGTAAGATTTTCTCAAAATCTATCTTAAAAGATGACACCCTCCAGCTTTATTTTCTTATAATCTTCAATAGCCTCCTTGGCGATAAGCACCTCATCCAAAATTTGATTTTGATGCCAGCAACATAGGCTCCTTGCAAGTCAAAGATGGTACTTGGCTAGACTTTCTTAAGTCTATCTGCAAAAATTTTTGTGATAATATTATATAAATTCGTAACGAAGCTAATAGGCCTCAACTCTTTAACCTTGGAAACATGCTCTTTTTTAGGGATTAAACAGACATAAGTTTCGGTCATGCATCAATGATCCCTTCTCATGAAATTCCCTAAACACCTTAAACAAGTCCTCCTAAATCCTTTCCCATTTGTCTTGGTAAAAAGCCAAGGAAAAGCCATTGGAGCCAGAAGACTTATCCCTATCGAAAACCAAACACCACTTTTCTGATCTCGTCCAGGGTAAAGGTAGCCTCCACTTCCCTATCAAGATTTGAAGTAGGACTCAATCCAACCCCTCTAAGAAAGGTCTAGGGCTAACCACCGGGCCGTATAACTTTGAGAAAAACGCAACCACCTCTGCTTCGATCTCATAATCTTCTTTCAAGACAACCGCATTCTCGGTCACCAAATGATCAATAACATTCTTATTCCTCTTGATGATGGTTAACGACTGGAAGACTTGTTTTGTTTGGCTTTTTGTCAGGGGTTCCCTATACCCCGGCTGTTCTTCGTTTTTCAGGCTGTTCTTTGCTCTTTTGAATATATTCTCAAAGTTTCTTATAAAAGAAAAAAACGAGTTTTACATAAATGAAGTTTGTCAGAAGTATTTATCAACTAGTCTGCCTATGTTTCTTCTAGATTCTAAACCCTAAAGGATGTCTCATGGTTTTTTTCCTTATGATGATTTTTAATTTGAAGGTCATTGAGCATAAACCGTATGACCATAAGGCAGACGTTTTCAGTTTTGGAATAGCCTTGTGGGAGCTTTTAACTGGAGAAGTAAGCAGCTGCTTTGTTTCCGAGTATTCACTTTATAGATGTTTTATGGTCTGTCTGTTTCAGCGTAAATATGATTCCTCTCTCTTTCTGTTTTGTTGCACAACTAGATTCCTTACTCATCCATGACCCCATTACAAGCCGCTGTTGGCGTAGTACAGAAGGTATAATCATCTAACTCTTGATCAATATTACCCTCACCACAATCAAAATGTTTTAAAAATATTATCTGACCTGGTTTATCAGGGACTGCGGCCTACAATACCCAAGAATGTCCATCCCATTCTTGTAGAGCTGCTTGAAAAATGCTGGCGACTGGATCCAACCGAACGACCAGACTTCTCTGAAATTATAGAAATTCTCAAGCAGATGGCTGAGCAGGTAGTTAGACTCATTACACGTGTCTGATATGTTGGATTATCATGAAACTTCTCTTAGCGGGTTTTGATTGAAACAGATCGAAAATAACGGGGAAGATCGACGCAAGAAGGATAAATTATCTGGCGGATTCTTCTCAGCCTTCAGGAAGGGGCATCGCTGAATCCACACAGGAGGATCTCATCCAGAGCTGCAATAGTGCTGGTAATCAACATCCCACCCCAATGAGGCAAAAAACAGAAGGAAAATGTTTGGACCTTTATTTTTATTTCCTTTCTTTTGTGTCTATATTTCCTTATTTTGCCCAACAGTTATATTTGTAAGGGCCCTTCTCTGTCTGTGGCCATGTAGAAACTTGCCTATAACCTGTAGCATGTTGTATAATATATTACTGAACACTAATGCATTATTTTTAAAAAAATTCAAGTACAACTACGGGGCAAGAATTTGGACAGGCAAATGTATGATATCATAAACTTTAACCTGTTGAATTATGTTCAAGTTGTTCAAGTTTGTTTGAAACTAATGTATCTGAATATAGAACGAGTTTTATTCCTTTAATATTTACATGTTCGACTCTCTCTCGAGCTCTATCTTCTTTTTGTGATAGATTGAAATAAATCTTAATCTTAAATCTACTAGATTCCAGTTGAGCTATGACTAGCCCCACTTGCAGTCTAGAAAAACTAGCAAAAGATGTCGGGATCAAGTTCGTGTTTGTGTTAGTTATGAGTATAGATGATAGTTTCAACAAAAAAAATTTGGATAAATTGGCACTTGGATTCAACTTAAGTATCTCAAGAGATTAAGGATTTCAAAAAACAACTGCAAAAGAAATAAATATCAACAATCAAATAGAGGCTATAAACACAAAAGAATAGGATTCTGAATGAAGTTAGCCACAGTGCAATGTTGGCAAACAGATTGATAGGTTTATTATATATATCCTTTCCAAAGCATCTGCTAATATAAATGAAACCTTTTCTGTGCAGCTTTGAAGGAACATTGATGTGGGTTGGAGAGAGCTTCAGCCATCAGACTCTTCACTGTATCGGCTCAGAAGCTGGCGAGTGCGAACCCGAACCTGCAATCGAACCAATGCGTGCATGAATTGAAGAGCTATACGAGCCTGCCTCCTTGCGCACACCCCACGGGCTAGTGCTTGCAGCTTCACCAAGCTTCTTAGCGCTTGAAACGCCCGTCTTGCCTGAACAACAAGAGTTGAGTTAGTGTTGATAATATATCGATGTATGAATGATTAAATGTATTCTACTTTAGCAGTAAAGCGCACAAATATTCTCCAACCTTTTTTTAATGTATGACATTCAAATCAAAACAATAGTAAGTACTAGAAGCCAAAGCGAACATAGCTCAGTACCTGGAGGATGTGAGTTCGAATCCCAAAAAATAGTAAGTACTAAGAACATAACGTGTCATTTTATTTGATATTAGTTTGTTGGAGTAAAATCTACTTTGGAAATTTTTCTGATTGAAATTATTTACTTTAAAAATAAACAATAGATGTATATAAATTTGAAAAGGTATACATAATAGTTTGAAAAAGGATGGAGAATGCCCCTCGGTCCCATTGAGACGAACTTTCTATTAACGAATACTGATCAGTGCAAAGAACTTATTAAGAATCACAAAGATTCTTAATATATTTCTTTGGAGTTCAAAAGTAATCAAGAAAAGAAAAAAAAAACCTGAATTTAAAGACTTTCAATGTTGCTTTTTACCCATTTTAGTTATCTTAGCAGTCTCCCAAAGCATAAAACGCTTCTCCCCAAAGCATTTTTTTGGAAGAAGCTAATGCTTCTTTCAAAAGCATTTGAAGTATTTTTCTTTCCCAGATTTTGAAAAATACTTTAAATGGACTGCAAATCGCTTCTCTCCCTAAACCATTCCACAAAGAAAGTAAGAAGATTAGGGGTGTTTAAAAAATCCGACTATCCCAATCCAAACCATAAAGGTTGGGTCTCGGGTTCAACCCTTAAAAAATCAGGTCAACCCAACCCAACCCGAATTTATGCATATCTGTGTATAGTTTTTCATATTATTTTTTTTCATTTTGTATTTTAATCTTAGCTGTCTATTTAGTTTTAATCCTAACTCTCTCTCACTGCCATGATAATTAAAAATAAAAAAACACAACCCGACCCAACCTGAAGATATTGTTGGGTTGACCATCCAATTCAAACAAGACAGTTCCTATATATGACCAACCCGAAAATTCGGATTGGTCCCAAAACTCCTCCTAACCCGACCCGACCCAACCCGTAAATCCCCTCGACAAGGCAAGTAAAATGATGGTACATGGTAGTAAGATATATACAAGATGGGCTCTGAAACAAGCTTGGATTTTGATGGCTGCCAGTTCCTCTACAGACAAAACTTTTGTTTGAAAACCTGAACCATAACATTCTTCTTCTTCTTCTTCTTCTTCTTCTTGTTCTACAGATGTAAGAGTGGTCTGTTCATGTTCTTCATCATCATGCGGTGGGGTAGCATTTGTCTGCAGAAAAACAATGTCTCTGTTGGGCTTTCTACTCAACTTCTGGCGAGCTCTTGTAAACCAGTTTCTTGAATTCCCCATTTCCCTAATTCTCTCCTCTCCTCTCTGGTCTGATCACTTTAATGGAAAAAATGTCCCAAGAAAGTGGGAGATGTGGGAGACATGTCGTTTATGAAAGAGAGAGACATTGATGTGTTTTTGTGTTGTGTCACAAATCAACAACGTGGAGGGATGATATATGATTCTCTCTCTTAGGACAACCTTCCTACTATTCTCTTCTTCAGGGTTTACCTTAATGATTGATGGGTTGGGTATTGCGTAACTATTTAGAAGTCGTTTGGTACTGTTATAGTTTTTTTTATTCTATTTCTTCGACCGTAAGAATTCATATATGCTAACAGAATCTTTTATTCATGTCTTGGAACAAATTGAAAATGAGAATAAGAAATAAGAAATTGATTTTGGTTATTTTTAAAATTAATATACAATTTTGAGAATATTCTAAAAAAACGACAAACAGGAAACATACTTAATTGTAAAATGGTTAGATTTATTAGGAAAATTAGAAACAGTAAACAAGAAATAAGAACGTTAGCAAACGTACCCTTAGTTTATGAACCTTAAGTAGCAATATATTTATACTTGTAATTTTGGGACAATATTATTAAAAAAAATTTCCTTTTACAATTGTGAGTGTTCGGGCCAGTTTGCATGCATTCGACTCATTTTGTTGAACAATTAACTGATTCTATTGCATTTGGTTTGTCAAGAAAGCACATAAGATATACTACCATAATTTGAACTCATTTTCTCTAAATTCTTTACGATTTACCTGGGTCGTTTTGGACTAATAGGCCAACCCATGATGATTTTTTGGAACGAGATTTAGTACGTGAATCTTAGTATGCCATATTTATTTAGTTCTCATTGTAATATATTATGTTCTTTTTAGTGCAACAGTTGTAATATATTATGTTAACGTGAAGTATTGATCTTTTGTAATGTAATATTTTAGTCTTTATAGTTTAAAAATACATTTGGTCTTAAAATAATCTATAGATCTATGTCCTTGAAAATTCTCAAAGACAATAATATTACAAAGTTAAAACTATGGAGACTAAGTTTAAAGAATCAATTATAAAGTTTAAATTAGAAGGATTGAATTTTTATATATTAAAGTTTAAGCACTGAATTATTATTCTAACGAATACATATTTTAACATTTTATTTACCCCCGACATTATGCAATTGAAGGTGTTTTTTCTAATTTTACCCCCTCACCTTTGCAAAATGTATTGGAACTGATTCTCTTGAACAATCAAAATTTCGTACTTCTGTTGGATCTCCATCGAAAGATTTTCTATATGGATAATATACATTTCAGTTGATCAAGCTTAATTCTAATTGTTTTGTTCCGAAGCAAACCACGCGCCGCTGGATGATGGTTCACATATTGACAAATTTACCTTTAAATTCTAGGCACCACAGAAGGATTCAAAATATAAGAAGTCTCCCTCAAGAAGGAAACGAAGAACGGGGACAAAACGAAGAGATCGTACCAATGTCTGAAATAGAGAGTGGAGTGTGGTCATTGGTGAAGACGACACATTACTGTTGCAATAGTCTTTACCTTAAATTTGAATAAATATTGAAATTTTCATCTTTCGATCAACTTTTATGTTTGGTAAGAATGGAAGGAACTTCAACGTTAAAGTTGGATTTTTATTGAAATTAATGATTTTTTAGAGAATTATTCAATGACCTATTTTGTGTATTTATCCCACTTAATTTTGTGCGAGTATGGATTTATGTTAAAATTAGTGAGTTTAGAAAGATTTTTCTTTTTCTGATAAATCTAAAATTATGAAAATTAATTCCCCTCCCCCACAGTAATATTTGGGGTAGTGTGTCGAAAAAAAGACTATAAAAAGTCAAAGGCTTCCCATAAGGGCTAAAATATTAAGAAAAGTTTATGAAAAACTTCAAATATTGTTCATGAAAATAGTGTAGAAATTAATTAAATGGTAGTTCACCAACTACCTTATTCTCTTGTTATAATTATGAAAATGTGCACATATAGCACATACATACACATCAACATGGTCTTAACCAATGCCAGGAACTTTAACGACTACACCTTCGATATTGACATCAACCCAAACTCGTTCACAATTGAAATCTAAAATTCTCGGAGTGCCTGCTAGAATCACTATCGCTTTCACATTAGGATTCTCTTTTTCTATGATCTGAACTGCAATGGTAGATTTTATTCCAACAAGCTCCGGCCATACGTTTTTCCCTGTACATTTATGTTAAAAAGTTTATAAGAAACATAAATAGTTGTCGAATGTTTAAGTTTCTTAATAAAATTGAAAACGAGATTATTACCAAACAGGTTTTTATTATCCGTTTGATCACATTCTCGTCTCTTGTTTACAGTTTTTGAGAAATATAACCCTTTAGTAACTGTTTCTGTTATCATCTCTCGTTTTTAAGAAACATTTCTAAAATTGTATAAAAATTTTGGAAACGACAAAATTAAATTTATTGTTTCTTATTCCTATTTCCAATTTTTTTTTTTCAAAACATAACTGAAAATATAATTTTATCATTCTTTATCTATAATATGCATAATAAATATGACATAAGAATTTAATTAAAAAATTATATTTCTGAATTTAAATTTTAGAGGATGAGAAGCAAGAAATTTTTAATAATAATATTCTTGTTTTTATTTTCAAACAATAAACATGCATAATTTATTTTGTACTCATGGAATCTACGTGCATCCAACCATCAAACTCCCGTTACCCATTTACACATTTTTAAAGATAGGAAATAAATCATCACAAATTTTAGCCTATGTATAAAAACCAAATCGTTAAGCGAATATTAAATTTAAAAGTCGAAATTTTAACCATTAAAATTGAAGGATTAGATCATTATAGGACTGAAATAAAAGATGAAAGTAAATGACGATTACCTGGTGGACATTCTGACATCTTGA